TCCGCCTATGCTGAGGTACTCAGTATCATTATCTGCACCATCCTCTGTAGGCCCGCCGCATTGTCGCGCTCGCTGCGTCCAACCAACCAGCCATCGCGCTGCGGCGACCATGCCATCGGCAAGGGCGCTGACTGCCCGTCCTTGCTTGCGACCACGTCCAACGGCACGTAGGCCTGGCCCTGCTCCATGCCTCCCCTTCGAACCGGTCACGACGTGAGCCGCTGCCCAGGGGACAGCGTTCTCCCCATTCGCGCTCTCCCATGGCGGGTCAAGCAACTCGCTGCACGTCGCACAAAGTCAGAGCGCTCAACTCAACTCAACTCGCTCAGAGCGCTCCGTGCGACATGGCGACCTATCACATCAGTGACAGATGTGACACACTGTCGGGGCCGTGTTTTGTGTATGTCATGCTTCAAATTGCCTGCCAGCACTCTTTGCCTGCATTTGGGATGTGTCACAATGCACCAGTACGTCAGACTGGCCTTTCAAGTGCCCAGGACGTACACCAAATTCCCCCAAGCTATACCTAAATGAGCAGTACGAGGGGCACTCCCCTAGCCCATGACAGCTATGCTAATAGCACGTCAGCCATCCACCAGTGGCTATTATCATTTAACATGTAATGCCCAGCATGCAATATCCTATATTCAACGAGCCCAGAACGCTCTTTTTCAAGTTGCAGATTGTCACATACTGATTCAATAATCTGCCATTCTCAAGGCTGATAATTCGTGGAGAAATAGGCAGCATTCTGCCAGCCTTCCTCTCCCCTTTTAAATGCTTTCCATGACTGATGTTCCTGCCCTGTAGCACATTGCGCTCAGCCAATTTTTAAAGCATATTTCTTTCATGAACTGCCCAGCGTTTCTGCTGAAAATACCTTTTTTCTCTTTCTTCTTATCAGAGAATATCATAGCAGCAACCCCTTTGAGTTGCATGGCCACATGACTTCAGGCTCAGCAGTCATATTAGGCCCATATTAGGTCTGATGTCCCCAGCAGCTCACACCAGGACCTATGTTTTCATTATGTCCAATCACTTTCAATCGTGTCAAGCTGCAGACCTTCAAACTGAATTGTGCATAAACTCTAGTAGTACCGCCATATGTTTCTTTTCTTTCCACCTTTATACATTGTCCACATATTGCTATTTCTTCAGCCATTCGGTTCGCCTTGCGTACAAGTGAACATAATTTCTGTTCATGTAGTTCCTTGTAATTCACGACAGGCCATTTTACGCATGCTTTGCTCTCCTGGTTCTTGCCCATATGTCCCGTCGACATCCCTGGGCTGAATGTTTCAAGACGGTCAATCCATGCATGGAGCTGATTGTCCTTCGTTGGTCAGATTCTTGCGTACATTACAGTTGCAAGGCCCAACATTTTCAAACAACCGTCAAACCCAAACCTTTGGAGTTGCTTTTAAATGGAAACATTTGTGTCCGTCAAATCCAGACTTCCGGCACTCCCCTTTCATGAAACAAAACATGTCGCCGTCTAGAAAGACTTGAGCGGTCATGCTTAGGAACAGTCAAACTCTAGCCAAATATTATCAATGCTCTTCAGCATGTCCAAAGGGGCAGCCATTGCCCATTGCAGGATGGTGGATTGCGTCATTGTTTCCTTGGCCATTCTGCTACAAGCATCGCCCAGGCACCATGTTAGGCACCATAAACCATAGAGGCATAACGACCATCTGATGTTTCCTAATATGCCGTTTACATCATATTAACAGATCTCGCTTGCGCTTGTGACGAAACGCATATCTATTCGTTTCTTCTCTCCCTTATCTCCTCTTTCCCTTTTCGCCCTGACTGGTTCTTTGATAGTGGCCCAGTCAGCTGCCCTGTGTCGGTCATGAGCCCGCCTTTGATGTACCAGTGCTCACGACTAACGGCAGTTTTAACACAATAAAACCGAGGACCTGGGCGTCAAAGCCTAGCTTCTCTGCGACTTCTTGCCACAAGGCGATGTTGTAACTCTGCTTGGTTATTAGGCCTTGGCTGGAAAAGATGCTATGTTGATTTTGACGCTACATTTAGCGTCAATTTCATGTTAAGGTCCCCCCCCATCTTATATCGTCCTTCTACAATATGGAGCAGAGCCTCGCACTCATTTGCTTCGGAATGGGTTGCCTTTTGCTTCACAAACTTTCTTTGCTTTGTCACAAAACTTAACCCCACCCAATCCAACCCCCCCTTTAATACCGAATTGACACTAAGCGTAACAAAGTCGACATGGTGCCTTCACCTGGTACTCGAAATGATGTTCGACAATTGAATCAATATGTTTGTGACCAGTTTTGCCCCCAATCCACAAACTGCCATGAACAACAACTCATACATGCAGTCCACAGTCCATCGCAGCCTGGCAAGTCTCCATTCCCTTGAGAGACACAACAATTATATAGATGGACAAAACTACTTTACCCATCTACCATTCTCGTGCCCCATCCTTACAAGGGCCAAAATAAAGTCGATTTTACCATTCCCATCCCATCGACCATTTAACTAATGACCTGCTGCTTGGTCAGTCTGATGGCAATTATCTTCTCTCCCGTTCAGGGACTGGGATCCGATTCGTGTATGTCAGGCGGAGCTGAATCCTCACGATGAGCGCCATCCGAGAGTGCCGCCGCGGGCGAGCGTCCAGCCGCTTCAAAAACGCACCAGGCGGGAATGGAAGGAGGAGCTCAGCTTCGTCGGCCGTGCAGAATTGCAACCGTGCAGAAACCTTGCTGCTAGATTCGCCGAGGGTGACCGCTCGGCTGTCCCACCGTTAGTCGCCCCACCCCCCACCCCACCCCACCCCACCCCACCCCACCCCACTTGAGCCGGAGAAGGGCAACCGGCACCGTGGCTTGACGTGGTTGACGACTGGGGTGCTTCACCGGAAACCCGGTTGGCGGAAGAACGGAAACGGGCACCAGTGGCTCGGGCATTGTGGGGCTGGGCCAACATGCATCCGCTTGAAGGGCAGGATTCGTCCTTTTACGGGAGGGGTTTAATCTTTCCCTATAGAACACTTCAAACAATGTATGTTGTGCTTCTTTTGGCAGAGCCAGCGACTGAGTAGGATTTTGAGGCCTTGCTTCAAAATACTGCCGTTGGCGCAATACGGATCCATTCTCTACAAGAATTTGGCAGCATTCAGGAATTCGCACAGACTGCTCTTGCCTGGTTTTCAAGGCAACTTAAGAGACAATCGATAGAAAAAGTTGCTTCACAAACAAACTGCTGCATTTGTTTCAGAACAGAGGATGCATGTAAATTCGTGTCTGTACCGATATGCAGATAGTCAGATGCAAACATTCCTAAACACGAATATGGACCCACGTCAGCCACCCAGTCCCATCGCTTGGGCTTGCATACACTGGCCGGTCGACATGTCGGTCCCCTCTTCTAAACCTTCTCCAACACGACACCCACCCACACACCACCTCTGGCACCCCATCAGACCGTTTTTTTTTTGGAATTCCAACGTATTACATGTTGATATAAGCAAGGAACTCCCCCGCAAAACGTAAAGCACAGTATCTATCTGTATATATCCATTCCCAGCGCAGGTCAGGTTTTAGGCAATTGCATCAATGTTGATGCATTATTGATGCGTTATTGATGCATTATTGATGCGTTATTGATGCATTATGCATTGATGCATTATTGTGCAATATTGATGCATGCAGTATTGACAAGTTATTAATGATTGGAAACCAGGGCTCATCAGCCCGCCGAGTTGGCGCCAATTCGCTGCTGCTTCTGACCCAGTCACGAGTAGCTTCTCCAAAGAAACAAAGGCTTGTTCCTACGTGGCACCGGGACGTCCCATGTGGGGCCACCTCGTTAGTATTTCGGTTATGCTGCAGCATTAGGATGCTGCTTCTGCACAGATAACGTCGCCAGTGCACTGACGTGGACCTCCCTTTGGAGCCATCCCTCTGTTGTGTCTGAGTGCCTTGGCGCTAGTCCCATAGACGCTGTTCGGGAAATTGTTTCATGTGATGTGAACGTTGGAACAGAACAAGCCACAACTTCACAAGACCTGGATCTCACAACAGCGCTGCATGTTCTCAGCCTCGGTGTTGGCAATCCCAACTCTGCTGTGTGCGCAATTGACATCAGGACTCGGTTGCGATCACAAGACAGAAAGATTCTGAATCATGAGTGATCTCAAAACCATCAGCGTTTTTGCTGTGCATTCCATCATGTACGATGGAACAATGACGAGCTTCGTTGGCATCTGCATCAATTACTTCGTTGAGCACACCATTTCGCAAAGTATTGTGCTGCCATGAGGCTGGCCTGAAATGATATCTGCAAAGATACAATAATCCATCAGTAGGAATCCCAACGATTGCCACAACAAATTTGCCCTCAGTCCCACCACTCTGCCTTCAACCATCAAAATTGCGAAAGCTGTGGTCGCACATATCAGCGGGATTCAACGCCACCAGAGGCCAGACACTGGCTTCACCTGGGTCGAGTGTGGGGTGTACGCACATTGCGAATTGGTTGCAACGGGTATGCAACTGCCTCTTGGAGATATCCTCAGGCATCTGTGCATCTCTCAGCCGTTTTGTGAAACTGCTCAGAGTATTTCACGTCTGTCTCATGCAAAGCAAGCTTACCACAAGAATACCGCCTATTCTGCAATTAAATATCCATCCACCACAATTCTTGTGGGAATCAAGTTGAAGATGCACGATTGGCCTTGTGCTCCAAACCACTATCATGAGCCAAGGTGCAGAATAAGCCATGGCCATGGTCGTTCATGCCAAGTACTTGCAAGTGACAGCACCTGCGAGATAGCATGGGTTCCAATGCAGGTACAGCTGCGATGCACTTGCACATGAAGCATCCAAGATAGTTCGCCAAACCATGTCAGCATCACAACACAGGATGAATGCAACGCCACATATCTATATTTTGATTGTTCTCCTTCATGTTGCAGGGCCATGTGGCAAAATTTTGACAGTGCCAGGCGCTCCATTCAATCGCCCTGCTCATCCAACCCCTTCCAAGTCACGTATGGCTCTTCTAACATCTGCAACTGACCTCTCCAGCAGCTTCAACTCCTCCTTCAAGGCCGACAGCCGCACACGTTTGGTAACAGCATCTGGACCTCCAGAGGGCCCAATCTTTGGCGGCCTCTCGTTGGTGCCATTCGGCAGCACCCTGTTGCTACCACCCACAGAACTGTCCGAATTCGACAGGTCAGCCAAACACCGGTCTCTCCCTCCCAACTTCTCGCCCCGCCTGACATCCCTGCCCTTCTCTTTCTTAAGGCTCCCGTTACAGTGCGTTTGTTCAAAAGGGGTACATTGGGCTTGGGATACCCCTTCAAGCTGCATGGAACGCCTTTTATGAGCTTTGTGACTGGCACTTTGGCAATCAACTGGCCCAGGCACCGCCCCTTGGCCTCCTGCTTGTCTTTGCGGTTCTGCCACAAGCACAGACTCTGTGGCATATGTTCGATCAGGCTCTGCAGCAACATTGCGACCTGCTTCCAATGCGTCCTGTTCTCTCCAGGGGCAAGCAACAGGCCCACAGGATCCATGGAGACCCCACAGCGAGTTGCACCTCTCAAGTGGTTGCTTCTGGTGTCCAAGAGGCATCCAGGCATACACCATGGCACCTGTGCAAGGCACACCAAACGTGCAGGGTTTCAGGTGAATCACACTAACAAACTCGACTTGAGAGCCCATGCACAGTGCTCTGCAACAGAGTCCATTTAATGTCTGGCCACAGTGAACGAATGCATCCAGTCACACACTGTGCACACACACGGGCGATGGCACGTGTCGCTGATGATCAAGGGCACTCAGATGGTGTTAGATGCAAATTTCTTGACTGCAGGCAGTCATACCTTTTCTTTTGTTTTCACAGGCCGATTCCCGGACATCATAAATTTCCCAGATTGCCCTGTACTCTGTTTCGCGGTTGAAGCTGGTGTTTGACACGTTCTGCGGATTTTCCAAGACTTGAAATGAATTGATGCCATTTGTGGCTTCAGTGGCATCGACTGCAAGTACAACACAACCACAGTTCTCACTGATAAACAACTTGCTTCTCTGCTGGCCATTCCACACCTACAACTGTACACAGCAATGAAGCAGAACGTTCAAACACAGAATGACACAAGACAAACCGATCTCGGAAGCTGAATACTAATATTACTGTCACAATGTGCACAATGGCTGACTGGTACTCTATGGAAGGAGCAAGTACATTGCAGGTCTTGGCCCAAACAGCTCTGCACCACTTGCAATGTGTAAATTTTATTGTAAATTTTGTTGTAAATTTTGCATGGAATTATCCAATCCAATTATCCAGTTACATCCAAGACAAATCAAAGCTCGGACACATACAAGGCAATGAAGATGCTGCCTGCAGTGTGCTGGTGCCTGATGTCCTTGGTGCCAGCCTGCGTTCTATTGTCTTGTGTTTGCAGTGCAATAGATATTCAAGAGAACGATCAGGCTCCCGTGCCAACCTGCAACAAGATTCACACTGCCAAATTTTTCAATGAACTGACATGCAACGACTTTCATCAACAAACATAACCTGCCGAAATTAACAATCGCATCAGTTGTGAACCATTCAACACATCACCCACGTTAAGTGACACAGAACAGCCAGTCACTGTGGTTTTCAGGTGTGCATCCTCTCGCAGCAATGGTATGTCCTTACAAAGTTTCAAAGCCGCCTCATGCTCTGACTGAATATATGGGGAGGCACCCAAACCTCAATACTAATACAGAACAAAACACGTTGTAATATGAATACAAACAGCATGCGATCTTCTGAGCAACTCAAAAGGGACAGCTATATGTGTTGTGAGCATACTGCAAGACGCACAAGGCCTGCTTCAATCCATTAACGGACATAATTGATACAACATGCACACCAACTTTGTCGGCAAAACTGTGGCGTGTCGACACATTGAAGGTTTTGGCACATGCTCCACTGCCTTTGTTCACACAAATGACAAAGGCAAGAAAGGCAACACTGGAAAGAATTTCAAAGGAAGCAGTGGACCAGTGGCACACTTGCTGAAAAAGGCATTGTGACTGATGTCCTTCATGTATGCCTCACTCTTGCAACTTGCCCCTTCTGTGGTTCGTGCAAGTGCCAAAATGTTTGTGTGCTAAAGCCTGCATCTGGATGAGTAGGCCCCTTTCCCTTCTCCCCTCCCCGATCTCAGTGACAACAACTGCACTGGCATGTTGCAGCCTGTACTGGCAGAAAGTTGTGGCAGAGCCCTGAGGCAATTCTGCATGCCACTGTGCAGGCTTTTTTCTGAGTGGTGCACAAAACCGGAAATGCGCCGCGCTGCGCACAAGCAGTCCTCTGATTAACCTGGCGGTTTCTGAGCACTGCACAATATATCAACCCTTTGATACAGACAAGCACTACCGAACCCTAACAGAAAAGGCCGACCAATAAACTCTGGCCGCAGGCTGCCCCACCTCCACTTAGTGGCTGGCCTACTCGTGACTGCCGCTGTCCGGGTTCTCAGTGTTCCCCAAGATTCCAAAAAGGCAATGCCTACAAGAATCTTCTTTCTGGGCCCTGTGAAGTGAAAACACAAGTCAATTGCGTTGTTCCTTGCTGTAACTCATACAATGGACATCCGCACATCAAGTAACACCACGATTTTCAGGAATCAGCTGACAGTGGTGTGGATCAATTTTTTGGACCCATTCAGTAAAAGCTGCCGCCTTCGCTGCAATCGCAGCCTCTCACAGTGCACCCTGGTCACCAAAACCAAAGTACCAAAAAGACTATTGCGTCAGCAAACAGATTGCAGCATCAATACATTGTCTCTGGGTGAAGGAGAAGTGGGGGGTGGGAGTGGGTGGGCTGGAGCCAAGGGGGCAGGGTTTTCTAATTTTGCTTGTTTCTAAAGTGCGCTCTTGTCCAACGATTACTTCCATAATTACTGACAGCAGGGATAGGCAAGGGATGCAGACACAGCCTACGGGCAGTGGTGTGATGAGGAGCAGCAAATCAGGAGACACACTACAGTTGGCCGCTCAAACTGCAACTGGCACCCAGCCCAAGAAGTAGGGGCAGACAGAGCTGCCATCACCAGCCAGATCTCCTGAGATTTGCACACTGCTGCTGAGCCAGACAAACCTAGCACCCACCCCTTCTCCACCTGTCAACTATGAAATATTCACAAGACAAGTACAAGCTCCTAACAACAGAGTTTTAGCTGCTACTCACCCACAGGCAGGCCAATGCTTGCAAGAAGGTCTTCGCTTTTCAGTTGTGATGGGGCCTCAATCCCAGCTGCCTTTACCTTCTCCACATACTTCTCCAGACCCAAACCCTGTGGGGCAAGTGCACATCCAGAACTCAGGCAATCCACTCCATCAAGTTGGACAGAATATGACAGACTATCGCCCATACAAAGAAGAATACAATGAAAGGATCAAGTATCCCAGTTGAACATTCTCATGAAACTAGAACCACTGAAAATCATGATGCTGATCAACACAATCTGGCGCAGTTCACAGCTGATTGTAGTGATGAAAGCCTTGATGCAAGTGCCACGTTTGATGCATTGATGAATCCTGCAAGCCAGCTGCGTCCTGATCACATCGTTTCGCCTCATCGAATTCTAACCCAGGTGCACTGTTGGCAAAATCCAGAATAGACCATGGCTACATAAGGTCAGTCTTTGGTCAATGGGCAGATTGGCAGTCTGCAGAGCTATGATCATGGAATGTTCACCACAGATGAATTGATTGTATCTTGACTCGTCCTTGATAGGCCCAAGTGCATTGCTTGTCATGCCTTGTTGCAAAATGCAATCCATGGCACTAGCAGTAAAGTACGGGCCACATGGCAAGCCGAACCACAATCCAACCCAGCCAGCAACCTAACACCTTCTCCTGGTTCACAGAAAATGCAATATGCAGGAAGGGCTGAAATTCAAATCCACAGCCTCCATTGGAAAGTGCACAGCTGCTGCTCACCCGGAGGAAGTCGCCGAGACTGCATGGCTGAAGTTCAGCGTCTGGTTCTGCTGCAAAAGGGAAAGACATCATATCCATTATTGCAGTGATTGGATACTTGCCAATAAACCCAGCACACACACACACACACACACACACATACATGATCTTGCACCTACGTAAGTCTTCAGATTGCTTACAGCTACCTGAGACTTAAGCAAGACCGTGTTGTGGTTGTTTTTGACACGTTTGGACGGTGATGCAAATGCCAGGATGGATAAACTGGTGATTTGCACCTTTCCAGAATGTGGCAGGCACTTTCGCACAACCACAAATCTCCCGCAAGGTGACGCCATGGCCCATTGCCGGTCATGATCTGCATCCTGAGATTACAAACGGGTTCAGGTCGTTGGTTTGAAATGGCAGTCATGGAGATCGCCAACATTCTGTGTGTAGAGAAATGCCGGACAGCGCCTTGAAGGTGCAGGTGGACTGCTTCACGTTCGTAGACCCATGTAGTCAACTGAGTTGCCCGCATGACTGAATAGACATTCCACTGTCACTCCACCAGGTGCCAGACGCCATCAACACTTCGAGTTGCCACAAATACAGTGATTCGCGCCATTGACTCATCAGGTGTTCCAGAGCAGTTTTGGTGCACATAATTGTTCAACAGGCACACCACCATATGTGCCCCCACACGTGCCTCACCAGGTTGCACCTTGTATGCTGGCAGGGGAAGGTAAGCTAACGAACACACTCTGCTGCCGCCTGATCGCGTGTAGGCTGCGGATTTTTTGGGACCATTGGCGTTAGGTTACCATGGCTTGCCGAAATCTCACAATATCCAAGCATTGCCGCGTTCAGCACTGGACCCCGACACGACACCGTGCTTCGCCGCGGCGTGCGCAACGCCGCACTCAATCCCTCGCCAGAATGCCGCACACCGAAATATGTCCGCGCGGAAAAATGTTGGCGCATTTCGCCTTAAAAAATGTTCGCACTGAAACCTTGTCGTGCAGTGGCTCGAGCGCGAAATGCGCAAAGATTTTTCCGTCGTGAACTTTTTCGGTATACAGCAGTCTCCCTGCGTCATGTAATGGTCGGAATGACGTCTTGACACTCGCAACAAATGCACCGGCCGAAGTTCACTCGCCTGATTGGCCAGCCCCATGGCCTTGCCCCGCATCCCGCCGTGCGTCGCGCGATTCGCCTGCCGGATCCCTCCCCTCCAACCACGACTCAGTGACCCCCGCCTCCAGTGCGGCGCCGCACGGCACGCTGACGGTACTTGGCAATGGTCCTCTTTCGGGCAGTGCGCGGAGATTCTTTTCATGGCCCTCCTTCCTTCCCAAAGCACCGCCAGGCTCCCATTCAGTTTCACCGCGTCCCACGCCGCGGTCAACTTCAACGCCCTGGCTCAGCAAACAGATCGGGCCCGGCTCAGCCACCTCCGGTTCCTCTCCGCCCTCATCCTCTCCGTCAACTTCACCGCCTCCCACGCCACGATCGACGCCCTGGCTCAGCAAACATATCGCCCCCGGCGATCCCCCCGCCCCGTCCGCCGTCGATCCCGCCCTTCCGCGCCCCATTCCCGAAGCTCCGCCCACATCTAATCCGCATCGCCCGCTCGCGCGCCCGGGAGTGACGATCCGCAGCGCGCCACCGGTCCCTGCGGACGCGCTGCAGCGGGCAGCATCGGCGACGAATTCCTCGCCTTTCGTAGCGCATTGCGGCGGCTGGGACAGCAGCCAGGTCAGCTCGGGGTCCATCGCCCGCCTCTGGGCGCAAGACGGGTTGCGGAGTCACGCGAGCGGCCCGTCCCAACGCGCTGCGCTGCCGCTTTGGAGCTTGGTGGTGTGCAGGTTGGTGCTGCACTGCACTTGCCCCGTTGCTGTCTCAATCGGAGTCTCCGTGTTTGAAACCGTTTTTTTGCCCCCTCTGCATTTTTTTCGGTTGGCGCTGCTTTGCTTTCTTCTTCGTTTTTTGTGGTGCCGGGAAATGTTTTTTTGCCCTTTTTTAAATTTTCGGTTCCAGTCGGCTGCTGTGTCGACTCTGGCCATTCGCGAAGGCCCTGCCAGGGCAACCTCCGCCTCTCCCCGCTTGTCCCCGTGCAGGGCACCTGACACAGAGACAGCACCGGCGCGCCGTGGCGCGCCGCGCGACGGGGGGCCAAGATGCGGATCATGATCAAGGGCGGCGTCTGGAAGAACACCGAGGTGAGGCGCCGCGCGAGTCGTGGTGCGCGGCGCCCCTAGGCGAGGCCGACGGCCGCCTGCCATCGGGCCTCCGGCTGGTCAACCGCAGAGTGCGGTAGCCGCGCGGGCCGATCGGAGATCTTCTCCGCCCGTTTGTGTGGCGATCCCGGGGCTTGGGGATGAGCCGACCGGCGCGCCCCAGTGGAGCGGCACCTATTCCTTCGGCCCAGCAAGAATCGCGGCGAGGCAGGGTTTCGTTGTGGGGGCCGGGACGAATCCTTTTGAATTGCATTTGTACTGAGACACAGCGAAAGCCCGTGCACCAAACTGGCGCAGTCGGGCAATGGACCCAAGCACATGGTGCGTCCAAACCCACAGTGTGTGTTTGGCTGACCCTTAGTCAGCCCAAGGGGCAGCCCCTGGGAGGGAAGGGGGGATTCCCGGGAGGGATGGGGAGGGGCCGCGGGCTTAGGTGGGCCCGCACGGTCTCGCAGGCCCGCTGGAGGATGGCCTTCTGTTCGGCCAGGGAGGGGAGTGTGCTGAAATCCTTTGTTTTAGATTGCTTCGAGATGTCAAAACGGTGCCGTTGCCCCTTATTTGAAATTGCCTTTGAGAAACAAAGGCAGTGCCGTTTCCCTTTGTGGGCATAATGGGCGTGTCCACATCCAGGAACGCATTTTGACCCTAGCAAATTCATGCATCCACTCGCCAGCGGTGTGGTCAGACTTTGGCACGTGATTGATGTCTTGGGCCTGGTGAAGGCGTTGTGGGGATCTTTTTTGGCAGGCGCTGCTGCCCAGTGAATGGAGAATTGGGGGCAGCGGTGGTATGTAGTTCCATGGAAAGTATCTCTGGGCACTGAAAATAGTTGAACTGTGCTTGGAATGCACTTCCAAACCACTCTCCCACATCCGCTTGTCTTGGCTTTGCACAATGCCGCCGTCTCCTGTGCAGATCGGTTCATCTGCAATAGCATGCTCTAACTCAATGGGCAATGAGGGACTGCTGCGTATCAGGGCCTTGTTGTTTGACCACTGGGTGCCATTGCCAGAAACTGTGGTGGTGCCATGGGTGTAGTTGGCGTGCACACGCATCTATTAATTTCAGTGCGACTTGGAGGACGACCCTCCTCTTTTGGATCACCTGACAGCTTTTGGATAGCTTGCATGCAACCTTCCACCACGCTTTCACTGTAGACAGGTGGCGATCAGAAAAATGAGCGGATGCATAAACAGGAATGAACAAACGTTTGGATGTGTATGTGGCCATCGTTGCCTGCAAGCTGTGAGGCTTGGGCTTCGTCTTGTGAGGGCAAAATCGGCACACAAGGAATTAAACTTCCATCACAATCATGTGCAAGCCACAGTAAGTTGAAGCGTTGACAAATCCTTCTGATGTTGGTGTTTCTGTGCCCAGGATGAGATTCTGAAAGCCGCGGTGATGAAATATGGCATAAATCAATGGGCAAGGATCTCATCACTGCTGACCCGGAAGTCAGCCAAACAATGCAAAGCAAGATGGTAGGTTTGATGTTGTGCTCTGGATTGTCATCGCTGTGGTGCTGAGGTTTTAGCCCTTCTTATCCCCTTGTTGCTTTCTGCTGCTGTTTGCCGAAAATGCAAATGAGTGGTATGTACAGCAGTGGTCCTGAGGTAACAAATAAGCTTGAATTTGATGCTGTTGCAAGTGCCATCGCCGCGATGTGCAAAAGGCCACTTTTGTCTTGAGATGTGAACAACCTGCCCTAAAAGGAATCAGCAGAATGGGGATTGTGGCTGGCCTCCCCGGTGCTGATTTGCAGTAGCCAGAGCTTGGAGCTTCTACTCACCGCAGTTTTGGTGATGATCTGAGAGACCTTTGGAAAGGACATCAAGGGCAACTGTGGCAGCATTTGTGGATGCCATGTTGGGTCATAGCGGCATGGATCAGGTCATGCCGGAGCACGTCTGCTTCATTCCATGGGTGGCTTCAAGTTCTATGCATTCACAGTGCAACCAATCTGCCTCATATCAAAATCAACAGGCCCTCCAACTTGCAGGAACTAATACAACAGCCAATGACTATTGTATAGCAATGCACAGGGCAGACAGTGTACCTGGTTTATGGGCATCAGCTGCAAAAACCAAGAAATGTTTGTGAATTGAACACTGCTCTGGCCTGCTCAGTTTGCCCAAAACTGATGGCTTCTAATGTGCCACTGTGTAGGTACGAGTGGCTTGATCCATCGATCAAAAAGACCGAATGGACGAAGGAAGAGGATGAGAAGTTGCTGCACCTTGCCAAGCTCTTCCCCACACAATGGAGAACAGTGGCCCCCTTGGTTGGACGCACTCCCGCACAATGCCTGGAGCGTTACGAAAAGCTGCTGTGAGTGCCCAGCATACGCGCACCCAATGACAACACATGTCTCCACTTGCAGCGTTTCTTTATTCATAGATGGAGTGCAGTGATTGCTGTGAGGCCAATCATTACCCTTTCATCTAGGAGGCAGTGTTGGCTGATGGTGTGCTGGCAAAAAACATTGAGAATGATCGTGCCATATCGATCAGGATGACAATCGTTGATGTGCTCTCTCTGTCTGTGAATTGCATAGTGTTCTTCTCATCCTGCCAGTCTGTTCAAGTGCTCTTGATTGGAACATCATGCAGGCAACTCACATGCTGATGTTTGGTTTTTCCACCACCTGCAACTTGTCTGTGCACCTACCCCTGCCCAAGACCAACTCTGTGGACCTCAACAGCATGCCAGTGATCCTGCCAGAAGGGTTTGGTCCTCTTTTCTGGATGTTCTGTATCCTTGGAGTATGTGGAAATTATTGCAAACATTCTTGAACCCGCAGTAGGGACGGGACAATGCCTATCATCTCCATGCAACTGCAAGAAACATTCCTGCATGATTGCAAACATGCAAACAATATTTTTGTAAGTGTTCTGTAGTTGTGGCTGTGCAACAACAATGCTTTGTCAAAATGCAATCATCGACTGTACCCTACTGAAAACTTGTTCAAACCCAACAACATTCAAAGACACAAGTGCCCAGTGCTTGTGCCTGAAGATGTGGTCATCCATTATTTTCCCTTGTCTGGCCAGATCATTGTCTTAATTTCAAGGACATGTGACGCTGCTTTCCTTACATACTGAAATATTTGGAGGCTTCATCTTCACAGCTCTGGTGTGCATCAAGCTAACAATGGAGCAGCCAACATCAGAAGTGTGCCCAAATTCAGTTTTCTTTTCGTTGATGCCTGGAATGTGAAAGGTGATGATGTTCGATTGGAGATCAAACAGTTTAGCCTATTTCTCAAGCCCTGCCATCATGGCAGATGGCCATGCTCCAATCCTGTTGCAGAAAAATGGGCAAGAGAATGGGTACGCAATTCCTAGCTAGTTGGTGTTGTCAAGACATTGCGACCTGCTGCCCTTACATCTTTCAGACGCTGCAGGAGAGAAAGGGTGCAAACTTGCAGCTGCAGGAGTGCTGTCTTTGCAGCTGCCTCTTCGAAAATCTCTGCTGTGCTTATGTAAATGCTGTGCTGCAAACGTGTTGGCAGTGACCTTGCCCTTGCTAAGGACGAGAAGTACGACCCTTCAGACGATCCTCGCCGCCTGCGTCCCGGAGAGATCGACCCCAACCCAGAGGCCAAGCCGGCGCGTCCTGATCCAGTGGATATGGATGAAGACGAGAAGGAGATGCTTTCAGAGGCAAGGGCAAGGCTTGCCAACACCAGGTGCTGCTGCTCAGTCAATCACATGGATCTAGCCTGCTGGTAACCTTGAGCGACTGGCTCAAGGTTATACCACATGGCAGTCAGGCTGTTCCACTTTGCCCATGTTGGTTCGTATCCATTCAAGATGGGTCAGAATTGTTCTTGTCTCTTCAGGTCGAAATCTTGCTCAGATGACCTTGATCCTGGGAAGTGCGCTGCAATGTGGAACTATAGTTCCCATCTGCTTCAGTATTTTCATGAGCTGGGCCTGTGCGGTGCATCAGCAAGTGTTCCAGCTTATGGTTCTTTAGAATTGGCTTTATATATATTGACAAGATATGTTTAATATACTTTATGTATTGGCAAGACAAAGTAGTGCCCTTTTGTAGGTGAGAATGGGCGTGTATGCATCCAGAACATGCTATGTCCTGTGTCCTTCTGTTCATGTTGTGCACTCACCACCTGTAAGGTCATACACTGCTATATGATGGATGTCTTGAGCCTGTTCAGTTGGTTGATCGAAACTGTAGTGTGCAAAACTCCACACAAAATCCAAATTTGGGGGCCAGTCTGAGAGCATCGGAATACTGCTGTTGCATGATGGCCTACTGTGACGTGATCATGGCAGAGGCAAGAAGGCAAAGCGCAAGGCGCGAGAGAAGCAGCTGGAGGAGGCTAGGCGTTTTGCCTCCCTCCAAAAGAAACGTGAGCTCAAAGCCGCAGGCATAGAGCTTAGGGGCAAGGAGAGGCGGCGTGGGGGGATCAACTACAACAAGGAAGTTGCCTTTGAGAAGCAACCGCCTCCGGGCTTCTACGATGTTGCCCAGGAACAGGAAGTCACTAAGCAGGTGTCCCGGGAGTTCCGTCCAGTTACACTGCAGGAGGTTGAAGGGAAGAGGAGGAAGGTGAGGACAAAGTGAAGTGCTTTTAAAATAACATGCACAGATGCCATCAATTGCACTGAGCAGGAAGCTTGATACACCATCCTGCTCCACCAACCTGCTCTTTGGCTTCAACGACCTCTTGGGTGCTGTTGGTTTGGGTGCGTGGTCAATCTTTTGTCCAATGGGGCAAACAGGAAGCAGAACAGGAGCCGCAGCCAGCATGGGACAGGGGCTTGCTGATTTTGTCCCCCAACTGTTCAAAATTTGCCCGCTTATCTGCAGTCTTCATTTTTCAGGATGTTGAAGAGGCGCTGTTAAAGGCAGACCTGCGCAACCAAAAGCTGCAGGCATCCCACGACCAGCCAGCAGCCATTGCGAAAGTCGCAGAGCTGAACGACCCATTGCTCACCCATCGGCGGCGAAAGTTGATGCTTCCAGCCCCGCAAATATCAGAGCAAGAGCTGCAGCAGATCGCCAAGATGGGTGGCGATTCTCGTGTGGAGAATGACTTGATGGAGGGCGCGGGTGGGGAGGCCACCAAGCAGCTCCTTGGGCAGTATGAGCAGACTCCCATGGGGTAGGTGTTGTCAGCCCATGCCATGCTGTCAAATTGCGCTGCCATGTGTTCTTGTGGGTGCTGTGGCTGTTCCACACATGGCAAGCACATTGGACACAACAAATCGTCAAGTCTCCGTCCCATGCCCTTGTCTGATCGCGGGGGCACCCTGGATCACATCACTGTCCTCTCATGGCAGCTCTGGTCCCTGGCTGAGACAACCTTGCCAAGTGGTCTCCTAGCCCTTGCCACCCCCACCCCACACCCAGGACGCACTCCTTGTCTAACTGCAGGGAGGAAAAGGGCAGGGAGCAGGACACTACTTGCATATTCCACCTTGCCTGCTGGCCATGTGTATGTGAATTCAGTTGTCAAAGAGTGATAAAACACCGCCCTTGGGTCTGCGGAGTTGTGGCAGGCAGAAGTCCATGCCAAGAATAGGATACCCACAAATGCCATCACCCCTCTGAGCCAAGCTGTATCCATTCGCAAACCTCTGAACTCAATCGCTTCCTACAACTCGAAGCAGCAACCCTCTGTTTTGGTTGGTGGGCATGGAGTTGGTTTTTGACTCAGCTGCAGTGCAGATTTCTGCTGCACCCCTGAACTGTATGCCCAGTTTTCAACGTGGGGAAAACTTGTCCATGACTTCCACCCATACTGCTCATGCTACAGAGTAGTTTTGGTTGCAGACCTCCTGGCAGCCTTGTTGCAACCCAGGCCCACAAGCTTACCTGCAGCTCTTGACAAGATGTGAACTGCCCACAATCTCTGCGATCGTCCAGCAACAGATCAGTTGAACAGGCACAGACACGTGCAGTTGCTGGCCAATAATTTGCCATGTGCTACCTGTTTACATGCATTTGCCTTTGTGAATCCGCGGCAGTCTGCACTGCTGTGCATTGAACTATGTGCATGAATCTCCAACCTTGGTATCGATAGTTACGAGCCTTAGCAGTAGCACCTAATGTCCACTGCATATTATGCTTTTGTGTTGTGATGTGCAATGATTCGCCTTCCATCTTTGCATTCCATATATTTTCAGCCCTAAATTTTATCGCTGCTGCTGTCTTCACTCACCATCACGCTTGCCTCCAGGTTGGCCACACCCATGCGCACTCCCCGCACACCTGCAGCAGGCGGCGATCACATCATGCAGGAGGCTCACAACTTGGCCAAGCTGCGATCGGCAGAGACCCCACTGCTGGGCGGCCAGACGCCTGAACTCTATCCCTCTGACTTCTCAGGCATCACTCCAAGGCAAAACGCTGTGGCCACGCCAAACCCACTGGCCACCCCTCTGGGTGCCACCCCCAGCCATGGGTCGGGGGGCCTCGCAACACCCTCCATTGGTGGCACCCCACTCACCACATCGGTGGCTTCTGGGGCTGGTGGCCCGATGCAGACGCCCGTGAGGGATGAGCTGGGGCTGAACACCTCCAACCACCTGGCCACACCAACCAACAGGAAAGAAGAGAAGGCGCAGAAGATGCTGGTCAGGTGACCTTTGCGCTTTTGTCTGTTCTTCTTGTATTCTTCTGGGTTTATTCAATCAATGGATCGAGGTCGTCGATTGCCTGATGTTTCAATGGCGGTGAGGGCTACGCGCCGTGTTGTGCTGTGAAATATATTGCACACAGTGCAAACAGGTGATGTTTGGTTGGAAATCGTCTCTGTAACAGGGGCGAGCACGCGTCGCGCATTGGGCAATGGCATTCTCGTGGGGGACGATTTTGTGTGACAATAATCATTCCACAGATGGTGCTTTAGAAGTTTCCAGGTGCAACGGGAGTCTCACACAAATGCAGAGCACCTCCTGGAGTATGCCAGGCAGTCTTGTTCATGGAGACCTCAGTTGAACAAAATGGGGCTTTCTTCACGGCTTCCTCTATTCCCTCGGTTCAGCAGCATAGGTGGTTATGCCATCCACCTTTGTGGATGCAGTGCATCGCATTAAATTGTCGTTGCCAGGTACTGGTGGTGCCCCCCTAAGTCTCATTCAGCAAAGTGCAGGACTCCTGTTTGGATTGTGGTGTCCAATCTGGTCAGCACAGGCTGCAGGGGAAGCCACAGGCACCATATACAGCCGGCAAACTGCTAGATACAAAGGAGCAGCACCGTTTTTCACAATAATGCCCAGAAAAGAGGAGCAGCAACACAGTCCAGTGATGACTGCATTGGCCAACGAACTCTAGAACTTGATTATAAAAATGTAGTAAGCAAACGATGATATGCTCTATGGTGATGCATGATCAGTGGTGGGGTTGTCTGTGTTGATGAGATGCTGTGTCCATGGGGAAGCAGACAAACTATCTGAGCATGGAGTGCATGCACAGCTGTGGGCACTGTGTTCGCTGGTGTTCTGGCTGAATGGTGAATGGATGCAAGAATTTAGTGCCACTGCCCAGTTTGGCGTTGTCCTGCTTCAGGTGCACTATTGTGCTCGTTGAACTCTGCTCAAAGTTCGCTGAACTAGCCAGTGGGCATAGTCAGTCACACGAAATTGGGCAAAAGAACAGAGGAAAGCTTCTTTTTGTGTTGTGAATGATATCATGGTTACCATAGACATTGTCAACCACAGGTGTGGTTTTCCATCAACAGAAGCATTTCCAGATTCACAGTGAGTCAGCAACACAGGCAGCGTGCACTTTCCAGAGACTGACAGGGTGTCCGACAGCGCTTGACAGCTGCAAGGGACAAGAAACAAAGAAACGGCAACCCCCTCCCTGTCAGTCCCAGTGGTGGTCCTCCAGGTTGCCAGGGACTGCCAACGATTGCAACTTCTGCAGCCTAGTGCAGCTGCATATGGTGCTGCCCGCTGCATCTGGGCACCGAGATATTGGTCATGCTCATCGGCATATCGCTTTCAGCCAGTAGTGAAGGTTAGCGATCTACTGGGTTGAAGGAAACTGGATCAGTGGGGATTGCGCTGAAAGAAGGGTTGCTGTGCTTTTCAGGAACCAACTTCGTGCGCAGCTTGCACAGCTTCCAGCTCCTGTCAACAGAGTGGAGATAGTGGTCCCGGATCTTCCACAGGAGGAGCCAGAGGCTCAAGAAATGGAGGTTGATGCTGTGGACCGTGACAAGCAGCGGAAGCTGGCTGAGCAGGAGAGGCTGGAGAAAGAGCTGAGGAGCCGCTCGCAGGTGAAAACGCTTTCCATTTCCGTGCAGTGCTGTTGCAATGAGCACAGAACATGAATGGTAGCATTTGTCAGTTACTTGTTCTATTCCCGAGGGTGCAAGGACCCATCAGATGTCCTGATTCACGTTATATACCATCGGGATAAGCAGATGCGCAGATAGACCACAAGAAAGGGGCGAGGGTTGTGTTTGTTTGTGTATTTATTTATTCATTCATTTATTTATTTATTCATTTATTTATTTATTCATTTATTTATTAATTTATTCATTTACTCATTCATTTATCCATTCATTTATTCATTTTTCATTTATTCATTCATTTATTTATTTATTTACTTACTTACTTACTTATTTATTTATTTATTTATTTATTTATTTATTTATTTGTTTATTTATTTATTTTCGTTTTTTGGATTCAAATGTATTCATGCTTATCTAAACAACGAGCTCCCCCACAAATCGTACATCACAATGGGATCCTTTTCTGGTAGGAGCCGATGTAGGGTCCCCAACAATGAGATAAAAAGAAAGCATCAATGTTTGGTCAGCGTTCAATACCCATGCGGGGGAGTCCTAACCATCAGAGAGAAAATGTCAAGGAGGGAAAGAGTTCGGCAGGTCATGTCCCAAATATCCCAAAATATATCAAAATGTCCCGATATATCTCGTGTTTGTTGCCCAGCAACGATCATAACCCTGTCAATCCGGACAGAAATCTTTGTCATTGTTGAGTACATGCCTGTCGAACAACCCTCGGAAACTGGGCCAAGAAAGGTCGTCCAAATCCAAAATGATAAGCCCAATTCCAATCACCATGTCCATGTGTCAAGTAACGGATCCCACTGGTCAGTTGCTGCCGCAAAAGAGCAAAACGGGGACAATAGAAAAGTTTGTGGTTTCTGTCATCTACAGGACAGTGACACCATGTACATTGTGAGTCATTGAGGAAGTGGAAACAGTGCAAGTATGGGTTTGCACCTTCCTTGGCAGCTTGGGTACTTATGCTCTCCTTCATCTTGCGCCATTGTGGCTCTGTTGTGATATCCCACCTGTTGCAATCTGGCTTGCATTAGATGGTCCCTGCTGACTTGATTGCAAGTCTGTTCAGCAACTATCAAGATCGGTGTCGATAATCTAGCATATGACATGGAGCAGATGGGATGGTTTCAGCATCGGTAGTCCCACGGGCCCCATGCTAATGTTACAACAACAGTTTCACATTTATGCTCACTGAGAACTTCATTACTTGTTCCTGTTGATGGCGCGCTTGCAGCCATATGGATTGTTCAGAAGATAGAAGGCTGTATGCAGTTGTGAGCGCTCTTCTGTCCTAGTCAGCAGCACCGAACACTACCTGATATATGCAAGATTTGTGCAACTTAGGGCGAGCTGATTGTGGATCATTGGGCCCACCTTCTGCTGTGTACGAGCAGGTCATCCAGCAGGGCCTGCCGCGGCCGCTTGCAGTCCTCATTCCCCACGAGATTGGAGCGCTTCCAGACATGTCCCTGAAAGACAGGGCGGAGCACATGCTGTCTGCGGAAGTGACAGCCATGCTGCAGAGGGACGAGGCAAAGTATCCAGTCAAGGAGGGCAAGAAGAAGAAGCCGGACAAGAAACGGAGCAGGGCGCAGATGGAGGGACCTCAGATGGAGGAATTTGATGAGGAAGATCTTCTGGTGCGGAGTGCTGCTTGCTGTTGATCAGATCGCCTAAATTGGTGACATCAGAAAGCATCTATGCTTCATCCCATGCTCTTCATCTCCTGCACATGTCCGCAACCTTGAGCTGTTGCTATTGCTGTTTGCCAGATTGTGTGAGCTATCATGTGCTGTGTTCTGCCCATGCTGATAGATCACCACCTCGTGTTTTTTCTATGGAATGTCAACCACTGAATGGTGCCAGTCCTGTCCACACAAACTGCACTTTAATTGTGTTTAAGTTGTGCTTAATTGTGTTCCAATTGCACTTGCCTGTCTGGATAGAGTAGTGCCCTTGAACTTGGAAACCACAGGGGGGGTCCCCATGGTGCATGTCCATACCTCTTTGACTCACAGTTCCTCTGTGCACCCTTTGCACAAAATGCAGTCCGCCAAGTGGTTGTGAGGGTCTGGCAACTAGACTTGGCTGCATGCTGGGGCCTGATTGTCGTGTCTTAGCTGACATCTGCTTTATGACACTTTGCTTTGTGGGACAAGGGAAAGCACGAAGGAGCACAAGAAAGCAAATATGAAATAGAAATGAAAACCATCTGTCCACAAAGTGACCAGGCTGTCTGTCAGATGTGAGGCCATCCGATTCTTTGGATTATGGGTGGTTGTGGGTGCCATGTGCATTGGCACAAACGTTCTGGTACATTCTTGGTTGCTGATGTCATACTGGGATGAGAGCTGGGTTTGTTGGTCCGTACTGAAGGTTCGCCAACAAGAGTTTGGAGGCCTGGTTCAAGCAAGTCAGTGTTGGGAGAGGCTTGAAGGAACTGTAGCTCCTTGAGCTCGGTGTATTTTCCCGGATGAAAAGCCATTGAGTCCAGGATCCACATTTAGTTGTGTCACGTTTGCTTCTATCTGCTCCATGGGAAACACATGGAGCGTCGATGAATTTGAACAGAGATATTGCGATAGGCCCTTATAGGTCTTTCAGAAATATCGCTTTGGAGGTTCCCCGTTAAGGTACTTGTGAACTGCTTCTTGTACTACTTGCAGCAAAATATATGTTACCATATCTCTCAGAAGCACCCTTCATGCCAGTGTGGGCTTTGGCACAGAATTCTGCTGCACTTCTAGAGGCAGAGGCACTGTATTTGAAGAAGGAGATGGGCCATGCCCCTGCCCCTGAGGAGGAGCGCATCCAGGCATGGGCGGCTGCTGAGCGAGAGCTGATTTGGCTGCCTTCCAAGGCACAGTATGGAAGGGGCGCTTCTGCGGCAACTACAGATAGGTGGGAGAGGCAAAGCAGTCACAACTGCAGAGCAGGGTTGTGTTTTTGCCACTTGCAATAAGTTGCCCTTCTTCACAGATGAAGTGGAATGGAGATTTGCTGCTGGGAATCCACAGTGTGCTGGTGTATTTGTTACTGTTGGCACACTTTCCTGGCAGCCTCAGGGCTCAAGGATCACGTGGGCCAGGATGTTGCTCTCCCCTTTGCACTCAAGCACACACTCACCCGAGCACCACGGAGGGCACACCACAATCCTCAGGCTGTGTTTGTCCCATGACCACATGGGAACAGAACTCACTTCAGGACGTCATTTTGTAGGGGTTGGCAAGACCATGAGAATTCTGGCCCAGTGTCATACAGGCCCCAAGTGCCGCCAAGTGCGCAGTAATGCTCCCTTCAACACAGCTTGGGAGTGAATAGCGTGTACAGACAGTGGGCTAAGAGCTATTCCATCGCTAAGAGAATGCCCCATATCCTGGATGGAACAGGATATGCGGGAGCCCAATATCCTGGATGTCGAGTATGGTATGAGCATCACATCTTGGATATGCATATCCAGGATATGCAACTTTCTCCAAAATCAGTTTTTCTGCCTCTACTCAGGATCGACTCGCTGAGGGGCGACCTAGAGAATGTCCATGCAGAAATGTTGAACAAAGCCAAGCGTGCGTCAAAGCTGGAAGACAAGATTCGGGTGTTGTGCTCGGGACACTGGGCCCGTGACGAGGCTCTGAGGGTGCAGTTAGACAGCCTCTGGCACGAATTGGAGGAGGAGAAGGTCAGCTTGGAGAGTTTCAAGGCACTGCATAGGTGAGCGAATGGGGATGCACTGGATGCTCCCTGGATGTAGGTGCTCCCTGCATGTGTTGTTGAAGCACACAGGGGGAGCATCTGTACCTACATGCTACATTCCTTTGCTTAAATATGCCCTTAAAAGACAAAACAGAGAGCCTTGTGCTTGAGTGTACCTGAGGGGGGGCTGAATTTGTGGTGACTCGATTGGCAGAAGAGTGCTTGGCACAACAATGAAGTGCAGGACGGAAACATGTGCATGTCAAGGGTGGCACTACGGCGATGTTGTCATGTGTGGCATCATATTGGACACGTGAGGCGGGGGTGGGGTGGGGGGTGGGGGTCTAATTGTTGTGCCATGGCATGAAAATGGGCAAAATGAACCAAAAGGGGTCAAACTGCCCCTGATTTGCCAGGAAAACTCCTTTGAGCATTCAGCCCGCAGCTGACATTCGTGCATGCCACAAAGAACTTGTGTCCTTGCATCGCCACTGCCAACACATACACAAGTCGTGTTATGAGCCGATGTCTCTGAGCATCTGGTGATCTCGTTGGTGGTTGGGTCCGCAGCCAGAATCCCGATTCAGATGCCCATCCAACTCAAAAAGATGGGGGTGGTGTGTGTGTGTGGGGGGGCAGGGGCAACGGCAGCGTGACGCCAGTCTGATGCCTGAGATGACAAAATCGCAATAGTGCCCTGTTGTTGAATCAAAAACTTTGTTGAAATGCTTCTTGATTCCTGGAGTGCTGTTCTGAATGCTACACACATTGAGGTGTACTATGAGCCATTCCGTTGCGTCTGTTGCTTTGTAAATCAGGCCAAGTGCCCGCAGGCGATGCAGTGTGGTGTGCTCAAACCCAACGCGTGGTCGTAGGACCACTCACATGGCCCCTGAAATTCTGAGCTGTTCAATGCGTGGTGCAGGGTTGCTCCGCTCGGAATATTGGGCTTGCTGGAACGAATGCCATTGCACCCAGCGTGTTGCTCACTAGCGGAAAATTGGTCATTCTCAACGATTTGATTCTGCGTTTAGATGGTGGTGTGTTGATGAGGATAGTGCATTGATAGTGTCATACGTGTTGACTTGCACCGATCGTGTTTCCTTGACCTGTGCCACACACTGTACAAGCGCAACAAAAAGCACCTATATTCATCATGTGACAGCAGCGCACCGGTCTTGATGCCATGTTCTCCAGTGACTTGTAGTGACAGCGAAGGCGACTCGTGCAGTTGCTTTTGCCACTGATGCATTTATTCCTGGGACGCAGACGCGAGCAGTTGTCCATTCAGTCGCGCTTACAAGCGATGAAGGAACTGGTGATGGAGCAGCAGGGGCGCGAAGCAAAGCTGCAGGAGAGATACAAGGAGCTGTGCTCCAAGAGGGACGCGATGCTGGAGAGCCTGCAGGACGGAGAGTGATCCTGTTGCGCAAAAACATGTGCTCGCCCTGTTCTCATTGTTTGCTGTGACGCTGCTTCTTTGGCCTGGAGGCATGCGGCGCTGCAGGCAGCAAATGTCGCCGCTCTGAGCATGAGCACAGCAACGAATGGGGGCCGTTACCTCGCGGGAGGCAGTGTTACAACAGTGTACTATAAATTTTGCCAAATTTTAAAAATTTGGCAGCCTGCCGAGAGGAAATCGCCAACAGTCCTTGGCAACAAGATTTCCCCCGAAAGGATGCCGGGGCCATCCTTTTTCTGGCGAATGCGGCGCTGCCAGTGTGGCGGTTTGGGCAGCCAAACGTCAGCGTTTTCGCCATTGTACTGTATTTAGAATATTATTAATAATTAAAATATTTTAAGAATTCTCTATTTAGCATTGCGCCGCATTTGAGCTGTTGTGGAGAAGGGGAACTATAGGCGAACGAAATCAGAATCAGGGCGCTTGTTGCTGAACGTCTGGGCGACGCGCCAGGTGTGCTATCCTTTGCATTGACTTTATATTGACACTTGTTGTGTTCTGCAAGCATATTTATTATCACAGCTACACGTACTGCATTGCTTATGTTTATTGCAGCTATTGCAAGTATGCAAACACGTGAGCCGATATCAGACGCCACGGGGGGACGAGCGCTCACATCCAGCATCGCTGCTCGTCCCTAACCACGTGTGATCTTTCTGTGCCCCCCACACGGACAGTGCTAAAGTGCAAAAGAAAGGCAGCAGCCTGGTGCGCGTTCTGCCACCACTAAACCTTTGGTATGCCTGTGAACCTGGCTGAAGCCGCTGCACAATTGATCCTTGTCCCGAAGGCTGGCGATTCACAGCAAATCGCCAGCAACAGGCCAACAGTCAGGCCAACAGCAACTGGCGCGAGCAAACCCATCGTTATTCACTTGTGGTTGCTGTGCTCCGTGCAAGTCTGGCACATCTGTTGTGTGTCATGGCCTCTGCTACGAGCCCGAGTTGGAAACGATGGCCACAGTTTTGGTCCCATGTCCTGATGTGCGCAAACAGTGAGATGCGCCAAAAATGAATCCATTCAAAGCTTGACCAGCGCGTGTCCAGCTTGTGGCGGCAAGAAAAGGCAAGCACTGTCTTTTTGAGTGTTCCCGCTGAACCGGGCTCCTTTGTCCCGCCCAGGTCCACACACACACCGGACCAACACATTACAAAGACTAGTGTTTGTCCAAATACAACCCGAGGTCGCCACAACTTGTGTGCCCAGTCACCCTCGGACACTCGAGTTCCTCCGGAGCAGAAGATGTGGCCATACCGGTCATGTAAGTCGCGGGCAGTAATCGTCATCCACCCGAAGAGGCGGTAATCCCATTCCGATGGGATTCGATACACATCGATGTACCGCCACATGGCAGCGCTGCGCCAGTCGCCCCAGTGGCGGATGCGCTACTCGGGCACCTCCAAAGCGAAACAGGCCGACGCCCCACCCGCGCGTAGTCCGTGGTGATCAAAGGCGCCGGGGTGGAGATCGGGCGAGGAGGCCAGGAGGTCCCAAAACCACGACAAAACCGTGCAGGCGGATGGGTCGCATTCACCTGGGAGGGTGAAAAAATGCGACAATGCCCCACCAGCGTCCACCCAAGCGCGATCCCGAAAGGCGCCCCATCGAAGATCGAGGAGAAGATCCACGATCTCGGGGGCATCCTGGGACGGCCAGGAGCTGAGGTGGATGGACGGGTCTGCGTTGATCTTCAGCTTGGTGCGGCACTCCCGGAAGACGACGATCCCATCTGCCACCCGCATGTCGTCCAGCATGATGAAATGGCCACTTTGGGCCCGGTTGAAGAAAATGAAATCTAGAAACGCGGAGACAGTCGCCCGCAGTAATACCAGGTCCTCCGTCCACAGGCCAAGCTCCAGAATGCAGAGCATCAAAGTCTCCGGCACCGGAGCATGCGAGGAAGCCGGCTCCGGGCATTGGCAATGCCAAGACCGGATGAGCAAACGGGTCACCCGGTCGAACGCCGAAAACTGGAGATGACCTGCCACCTGGTGGACCATCGAAATTGCAGCCAAGTACTGAGGGAGGCTGTGGACGCCCACCCGGCCTTCCTCCCGCAAGAATTGAATGTAGCGGTAGATGGTGGACGGTCGGGCTGGAATCACCTTGAGCTCCGCGGAGGCACAGAAGGTCTAGAACTTGGTGAACTTGGCCTGCAATGAGCGCCGCGTTGACTCCATGTAGAAAGACAAGAACTCGGACCGCATCCACGCGCAATCCGACTGCAGAAGGCCATCCACATCCAACCCATAGAGGGGATGGTCTGCCGGCATGGCCTCCACCAGGAACGGGTCATCCGGGGGAAGGGCCGCCTCCCCGGAGGGGGACCCGGCACCCGTGCTTAAGGCGGAATCCGGGGACAGATGTGGAACGCCCGAAGGTTCCACTTCGGGGGAGGAAGCACGGCTGGAAGACTCGGATCCCCGGGGCGAAACATCCCCGGACAGCGGGGAATCAAACACTCTTCTGCCACAAGAGTCCGGAGTGGGGGGGAACCAAAGCGTGCTCGGCCAATCCGGTGCGACGACGACGGCCTCCACGGCAGGCCAGGCGGCGAGGAAGGAGATGAGCCGGGGAAGGAGGCACCAAGGAGGGTTGCACCAGTTGGTGTCCCCCATCCAGTTCTGGAGAAAGGCGTCCATCCCCGCGCTCCCCACATCCGCGTGCAGGTTGTTGTACCTTGGACAAAGGGTATTTGCCATGGAAGCAAAGCAGTCGCATGTCCGGCGACCGAAACGCCGCGTCAGCTGGCAGAAGATGGCCGGATGCAACTGGTAGTCGTCCACCACTTGGATCCGCGACAAGCGGTCCGGGATGACGTTGTCCTCTGATCGAATGTAGTTTGGGTCGAGTAGGAGGTGGCATGCCATACAGACCAAGTCTTGGTGGAGCTGGCAGAGGGGGTGGAGGAGCTACTTGGAATGGGTAGTCATGCTGCAAAGGTAGTATATGACTACTTGGTTGTCGATAAGCAGCCGGAGCCTCGAAGGAAGGCCATGGGAAGCAGCCGGAAAAAAGCTGCATATGGCCCGCTCCACCTGCATCTCATGCACATTGATGTGTGTTGGTGCGGTCCCCCCTTGGCCGCGTCCAAGTACCCTGGCCCGCGCTCTAGGGCCTCTCCAGTGGAAGCGTGGTCGTCCTCGGCCGGACGGCGTGTCCCGGGCTCTCTCTGGCCCGTGGGTGACGGCCGCTCTGTGCGGTCCCGTCCGAGGCGCGCGGCGGCTGCGCCCGAGGAGGCAGGGAGGCAGTGTGTTCCAGAACGATCGAACTACAATCGGTGCCGCCGCCAGGCGCTCTTACATGTGGCGGCCAATTTCATCAAAGTCATAATATTCATTAAGAACCTCCATTTTGGCCAAACCCGTCTTCTGGCTAAAGGCCTCGCTACGCTCGGCCCTTACGCCCAAGTCGTTCCGGCCTGCTCCGCTTCGCCCCGCATACAGTCTCCACGACTTCGGCGACGGGCCGAGCTCTGCTCGGCAAAACAAGAAAACCAACGGGTCATTGCCACAATGTGCTTCAAGGAACGGTCCCAAAACCCCTCACAAGGAGAGGGCAGGACTCACCCAGGGGGGAGAAAGTGGCCCCCCAACCGGTCAGACTGGCATCCGTGGCCAGGGTGCCAGCAAAGGGGACCGCGTTAGGGTTGAGAGGGCGCCCTTCACAGTGCCGAATGTTGACCCACGCCTCCAAGTCCAGCTTGGCTTGGGGGTGAGGATCAGGCGATCCCTCCAACTACGCTTAGAGCAGAGAACTGCATAAAGGCTTTGTAAGAAGAAGCGCGCCAACGGGAAGGCCAAATGTAAAGAAATGGCGAGGCCACAAAACCGGGCCAAATCCCAACCCACCACCCAGCGACAAGAGCGCAAAGCTTTGGCCTGATTGGCCACCAATGTTGCCTTCTCCAGAGGGACTTCGAATCAACAATACACAGTGTCCACAATCACTCCCAAATGTTTCTTCCGCAGAATGGGAGTCCACTGACATTTGCGTTCCTTGAATTGAATACCCAGCGAGGCAAACACACCTCGCACAAACCCGGACCAACGAGTCAAACGGGCGGCATCATGCATTGCCACCAAAAAATCATCGAGATAGATGAGCAGAATGGCTGCCGGTTCCTTCGTGTAAATCCTAAAGTAATTAGCTATTGAGTCATCCCCTGCTAATCGACAAAAACGGAAATGGCTAGCTGCCTTGGTGCAACTGCCCGGGAACCTCAAGAAACGACCCACTACAAGCATGAATTGAGTGAAAAAGAAAGGGGCCAAGGAGAGGCCAAACGGAAGGGCCCGACAAGCAAAAACTTTGTCTCCCATCCAAAATCAGAAGAAACATTCTTCTGCAGTACACACTCGCAGGTGATGGTAGGCATCCTTGATGTTGAATCTCACCAATGAGTCGTTCTGGTTTAGTAAGTGACCGAAGTCATGCAGTTTTTCGTACCGAAGGCCTACCTTACGAAGGTGACAGTTGACGTCACAAGTCCACACATAGGCGGTACTTCATGATGCCATCCTCCCGCCCCTTCTCCACAAGGAAGGCGTGGGAGATCCGCGAGTTCGGGCCCAGCTTTACTTTGACAATCGCCCACAATGCGAGGTACTCCTCGCAGATCGAACGCCATGCTACCGGCTCCTCCGGCGAACGGAGCACGTAGGAGCCCTTGTCGAAGGGAACCGGGGGTCCACGGGGTCCCCAAAGAATGGGGGTCCCGGAATGGATCCATTGTAGGATCTGGGAGGGAGCACCAATCCTAAGCCACACGGAAAGGCAGCCGCGGACCCGGTTGTATAGGAAGTCATTCACGGGGATGGCTTGGGGGATGCGGCCGGAGCCCGTGCGCCCTTGTGGGACTTGGGGCCAGTCGATGGGGCCGAGGTCAACAGGGCGGGTGCAGTCTTCTTGGCAGCCACAGCCTTGGTCGCGTGCTTCAACTCTTGAGTAAGAAGCTC